AAAAAAGCTATAGGTGTTGTTTTAAGGCTTTTTGATAAATACCCAGATGCCGTTAGGGTGTGTTTTAAGAGACTTGTTGAGAGTTTAGAGAGTGGTGATTCACAAACTGTGTCTGTAGTTGTTGGGGTGTTTTGTGAGCTTGCTTCCAAAGACCCCAGATCGTATCTTCCGTTGGCACCTGAGTTTTATAGGATTTTGGTTGATTCGAGGAATAATTGGTTGTTGATTAAGGCGTTAAAGATTTTTGCAAAGTTGGCTCCTTTAGAGCCTAGGTTGGCAAAAAGGGTGGTTGAGCCGATTTGTGATCATATGAGAAAGACTGGGGCGAAGTCCTTGGTGTTTGAGTGTATTAGGACTGTAGTCACTAGCTTCACTGAGTATGAATCTGCGGTGAAGCTTGCGGCTGCAAAAATTCATGAGTTTTTAATGGAGGATGATCCGAATCTTAAGTATCTTGGATTGCATGCGCTGTCAATTATGGCACCAAAGCATTTGTGGGGAGTTTTGGAGAATAAGGATGTGGTGATCCAGTCTTTGAGTGATGAAGATCCTAATATTAAACTTGAGTCTTTGCGTCTAGTTATGGCAATGGTTTCAGAGAGCAATGTGGTGGAAATTTGCAGGGTTTTGGTTAATTATGCACTCAAATCTGACCCTGAGTTCTGCAATGAGATTATTGGCTCAATTTTATCAACATGTTGCCGGAACGTGTACGAGGTTATAATTGACTTTGATTGGTATGTGTCACTTCTTGGGGAAATGTCAAGGATTCCACATTGCCAGAAGGGGGAAGAAATTGAGAATCAGCTCATTGATATAGGTATGAGAGTCAAGGATGTTAGGCCAGAGCTTGTTCGTGTTGGCCGTAACTTACTGATTGATCCGGCATTACTTGGGAATCCTTTTCTGCACCGGATTTTATCTGCTGCTGCTTGGGTGTGTGGGGAATATGTAGAGTTCTCGAGGAACCCAGTTGACCTTATGGAGGGATTGCTACAGCCTCGTACTAGTCTCCTGCCTTCGTCAATCAGAACAGTTTACATGCAGTCTGCTTTTAAAGTCTTAATCTTTTGTATGCGTTCTTACTTTGTGCAAATGGAAGATATGACATCAGAAGTTCCAGATTTGGCTTCTAAAATGGAATGCTCAGAAAGTTCTGATTTAGCAACCGGCAAAGCTCCTGCCCAAAGTGATCAGGATGAAGGGTTCAATCCAAGGAATTCGAACCAATCATATGAAGATCCTTCTGTTGTAGGTGCTGGGGATGGACAGACGTCTGCATCTGCATTCTTGGAGGAAAAAGGTTTCACGCATGAATCTACTGTTAACCTGTTAAACTTGATGGAATTGGCTATGGGCCCATTATCAGGCAGCTATGATGTTGAAATACAGGAGAGAGCACGGAACGTGCTTGGATTTATTGAGTTGGTAAAGCGAGACATATCTAATCCTTCGCTTCGCAAGGAAGCAAATTTGGAGAGGGAAGAAGTGATTGCTTCCAGAATTGTTGAATGGGTGCATGATGCCTTCTCTGAGGAGCTTGGTCCGGTCTCCATGACTGCCCAGAATAGAGTTCTTATACCAGATGGGCTAGTGCTTAAGGAGAATCTCACTGACTTAGAAGCAATCTGTGGAAGTGTAGAATTACCTTCATCTACTTCCTTTTCTCTTAGAAGTCCATATTATGGAGAAAGTGCTGGTGTTTCCATCTCTAACCTCCAAGGCGAAGAAGATTCAGATCCATCAACTGAGTCCACTTCCTTGCTTACAGAACACCGAAAGCGGCATGGGTTGTATTATCTCCCTTCAGAAAAGAATGAAATTCTAGCAAATTATTATCCCCCTGCCAATGACCTGAGTTCTGGCATTAACGCGAATGATGACTCCCAAGATTTAGTTAAGCTTACAGACCAATCACTTGCCTCCAAGAGAAAGCCAAGCCATGCAAAGCCCAGGCCTGTGGTGGTGAGGTTGGATGAAGGAGATGCAGCGGCTGACCTTGCCAAGAAACCAGAGGTGAAGGATGATTTACTTTCTGGCGCCATTCGTGATATTCTTTTAAGTAATGAAGCCAAACCTACCTCATCACAAAGTAATCCTTCTGAGAAGTCATCTAGTAAGAGAAAAGGGAAGGATAAACTAAACGTTGATCTACCTGATTCAAAAGAAAATCTAGCTGTTGGAGAACAACCCAATCCTGAAAATCCAAGTTCAAGGAAAAGCAAACACCGGGGTCACGGTAAAGAGAAAAACAAGAAAAGTCGAGGGAAGAAGAATGGGGATGGAAGGGAAGACGATGGGGAGAAAGAAAAACAGAAGAGTAGAGATCACCATGGTAGACACAAAACTCGACAAAGAGCTGATGCGCCATTAAATGTGGTTTCACAAACACCAGTTGTTCCTGATTACCTTCTATGACATCAAAACTTTGGATCACCTCTACTGTTATTGACTGCCGAAGAGAAGTTGGTTGACTTCATCCCATGTATCTAACCACCTTGAATCCTAAGGTTAGTTGGTTTTATTTTTTGGGTGTAGATTAGATATATTCATATTTTGGTCGGGTTTTGTGCCTTTTTTTATTAATTTTTTTTTCATGCAAGACGCTGTAAAAATGCAAATTGAATTGTTGAATTTGAGATAGGCCAAAAAAAAAAAAAAAAAAGAAAGAGAGAGAGAGAGAGGTTGCTTTGATCCCTTAGCTAGAAAGACAACAGCAATCGGTTTTAGCTTCTTGTGTATCTTTTACTCTTGAATTCTGACTCTGAGCTTTGCAATGAATGGGAATTTATAAATTTGGTCATTCTTTGATTCTTACTTAGTAATCGTGGATAACATTTATGTCATGTGAGTGTCTTCAGGTAGAGCTTGGTTTGATTTATCTGCTCCTTGCGATTCTTATCTGGGGATGCCTTTAACTTTTGATATGGAAAAAATAGCTCGCACCAACCATTTAGATTTACCTATCAATGATGGTGTGCACTGAATATTTTACATCTTTAACATTAATGTTCCAGTCTCCCATATGTGCCTTTAGCATGTTTCATTGAAGAAAAATCTGCTTCAAAATACAAAGTTCATCATTTTATTATTGTGGACCTTCCAAGTCCTATGAAGTGTCATTAATGGGGCTCCCCTTATTTCAGATTAGATTTGTGGACTTCCGATCCAGCTCCTTGATAGAACCATATGATATTTCATGGATCTTGTGAGTTATGCGAGCTGTCTTTCAAAATGAAAATATTGTTACTGTATCATGCATTTATTGTAATTTTTTTTTTCATCTACTTGTTGAAGTTTTGCATTGACTTGTGTGTTTTATTAAAAGTAAACCTGTCAACTTGGTCACACGTTTTTACTTCAGTAATTTTAGATTTTATTAACAATAATTGAGGAAGTCTCTAAGCATCATTTTTAAACATCCTATTCATACGAAATGAGAAGTTTTGTACAATGATGTGATTAGTTAGCAATGATGTGATTAATTAATAAGTTGCTTCAAGTCCTGTAAAAAAGAAACTTTCTCTTGAAGGTGGTGTCTTCACTAAGTACGGTGTGAGAGTTTTTGAACAGCCTGGAATTGCAACCCAAGTTAGGCTTTCTTAGCTCTTCTACTCCCTGTGAGATTATCCCCTTAGATTTCAATCTACCATGATTTCTGATGAGTGATTAAGTTATGGTCTCAGTCTTACTCAAACTAATTTATCTATTTCCATCTTTATTTTTTTTTTTTGCAAGAATTCATTTTCCATCACTTTTTGTCTACTGTTTATTTGGAAACCTGGTTTCAAAATCCCTTAGGAATGGGGTGTTTGGTTTTATGTAATGAGATAAGCCCCTTACTTTAGATTCAGCAAGTCTATTATAGTAGTCGTATATAGAGGGAAAGAAAAAACAGCTTTTCTTCTGCAAATAAAAACAGTGGGCAAGCCTGGAGCGGAGGATTGAAAATCGTCAATCAAAAGGGGGAAAAAAAAAATCATCTACAAGCCTATCAAGTGGACTGCATGTGGCTGAAAAGTCTTGCATGTTTTATCCCTAAACCCACAAATCTAACCTAATTTTCGCAGATGGGTGTAGCAGTCATTGGCTGGAGATTTGGTCTACAATCATAAAATGTCATTCTATTGGATTCCTTCTTAAATAATCGATTTGGTTGTCAATGTTTCACGGCTTAATGTTTGCGGACTTTTTAAGGATTTTTGTTCAACACTCCCTGAAGATGCGTTTTCTTAGTCATCTCTCACATGATCATAAATCAAAACCTAGTCCTAGTGGTCCAAGTAGGACTACTTAACATCCATTTTGTCAAACGTTTCCCTTTTCAAACGATCAATGGACCTGAAAAATAACGAACCCGTAAGCTGCCAAATTTTAGTCTTCGGATTTGAGATGAAAGAAACATAAAGGCGTACATTTTTCTTCTCAATAAAGCATCCGATCACTCACCATAACATGGCTTAAGAAAAGGGCTCTAAAACACGTACTAATGTAATTTAGTAAAACTTGGTTCTTTAAGCAAATTAATCTCCACTGCGATCAAATTAATTCACACGTAAAGTATGGGCAAGTGGTGAATGGAAGAATCATGGGAAGAGTGGCTATTAAGGATCCACTTTTTTAGGTTTAGCCCTAGTTGTCAAAATTTATCGAAGACCAAGACCAGCGTGACAGACGCGAATGACTTTTAGAATTGACTTTGGCTTACCAGTTGCTCAAATTTACGTGTTCATAACTTGGATCCATATTTCCTTGCATCAAATTCTACAGAAAGCAATGAGCTAATATGAAGTGTGGCAGCAGGGTTGTGTGTAGTGCAAATTTTGAAGCATCCAGCTAGATTCACATCAGTGTCTGAGTAAAACTAAAGAACCTTCATAGAGGACCATAACAAATGCGTGCATGTGTTTCAAGTCCTGAGTCTTTTGGACTATTTTAACTTCTGCAATTGCTAACCTCTCCAGTCAGCCACAACTCTCTCCTCTAGGTGTTTGAAGGAAATGGGAAATGAGCAGCAACAATCACCATCAGTTGCCAAGTTTATTAATTCCCATTTACAGTTAAGCCATGTCTTCCATTTTCTGTTCTTTGTTATCGGTTTGTCCGTTGGAATCACTATCGCTTCACATTTGAAATGTTTCTTCAATTCACGAGCTACCATGGTTTCTCTTACACTATCCCCACCACCAGAAGTACTGCTGCTGGAACCACCACCACCACCATTAATAAAACCATTTTTTCCGCCACCAGCATCACCACCAACCCTTTTACCCGATATTAGGCCACCAATTATGCACAAAATGGATGATGACGAGTTGCTTTCACGAGCATCGATGATTCGAAGGATTCAAAATTTTCGACATGGTCAACATGTCCCTAAAGTTGCTTTTATGTTCTTGACCAAGGGACCTATACCTTTGGCTCCTTTGTGGGAGAAGTTCTTTCGAGGCCATGAAGGGTTTTATACTATATATGTTCACCATCTCCCCTCTTACAATGAGTCAATGCCTGACGGTTCTGTTTTCCATGAAAGAAGAATTCCAAGCAAGGTAAGTCTTTTCCATACTCTTGCTGATTTTCTATGTGGGCACTGTAAATAATAACCAGGAAAACTGTTCTTTGAATTTCGTCAAATGAATTCACTTGCATAGCCTAAGCACATCACAACAAAACTTTAGGATATTTTATTCAACTTGGTCTATTTATTAGACTTTTAAGTTATATGATGGAATAGCTATTCTTCTAGTAGTCAAAGTGTAATCTGATTTAGAAACCAAATATTCAAGAAATTTTCCGAAGTTTTGATTCTTTCCCATTATTTCAGCCTGTGGAATGGGGAAGACCGTCGATGATCGACGCAGAGAGGCGCCTACTAGCCAATGCCCTTCTCGATGCATCTAATGAGAGATTTGTGTTGCTCTCAGAGACTTGCATTCCTATATTCAACTTCACAACAGTATATAACTACCTTATTAATGCCAATGAAAGCTTTGTAGCGTCATATGATGATCCAAGGAAGGTAGGCCGTGGCAGGTACAATCCAAAAATGTTCCCTACAATCACCGTTTCCGATTGGCGTAAAGGGTCTCAGTGGTTCGAGGTCAACCGGAAACTGGCCATCGAAATCGTATCCGATACCAAGTATTACCCCATCTTCAGAGAGTATTGTAGCCCTCCATGTTACATGGACGAGCATTATATTCCTACACTTGTGAACATTCGTTGCCAGGATCAAAATTCGAATAGGAGCATTACCTGGGTTGATTGGTCTAAGGCCGGTCCGCATCCTGGAAAGTTTGTGAAGCAAGCTATTTCTGAGGAGTTCTTGGATCAAATAAGATTTGGTAGAAACTGCAGTTATAATGGCAATACTTCTTCAGTATGTTTTCTGTTTGCTAGGAAGTTCCTACCAAACACTCTGCAGCCGTTGTTGCAGCTTGCACCTACATCACTACATTTTTAACTTGAAAATTACTCTACCATTATGGTATTGATGAAACTGATTTTAACCCCCCCTTTTTTTTTTTTTTTTTTTTCATTAGAGGCTCAATAGACCTATTAGAGAACAGAATGGGGTAGTTCTGCTTCATCAGAGAAGATAGATGGGTATACAACTGCTAGGTTAAGCATATTTGTGTTTAACCATTCTTTTTTGTCATTTGTCGAAAGGTGAAAACGTCTTGTGTAACCAATTAATTTGATACTTGAGAATGACTAAATTTTACTTGGGATCACAAACCTGTTTGAGACCATATAGGTCACTTTAATCTCTTTCGGCTGCAGGGTGGGAGCAAGAATACAAATTTTAAATGATTTTACGGTAAAATTAGCTAATGAAGATGGCTGTGTTTGTGGATTTAGTATTTGATGCGTAAAAACTATTCTAAGAATATCTTAATGATTACAAAATAAATAGAAAAAGGTATTTTGTTTTGAGCATCATTATACTTTACATCTTGTGTTTTGAAAACTTTACACTTTCCATCTTTTATTTTTCTTGTGAATGCAATTTCTACTTTTGGTTAAAATTTTGTTAGTTGACTATTATAAATTGAGTTAACTTTTGATCAAAATTGATTTCATAAAATGACCAAAGAAATCCTGTAAGTATAATGAATTATGGAATAGACAAACAAAATATTTATTTAATATTAAAAAGATTTAGTCTGAAAATCGTTCATTTAACTCAATTCCATTTCATTTACGTATTATTGGAAAAATATAAATAAAAAAGCAAAATGTGCTGCTTCCATTCCTAAGAAACTTGTACTTTAATTTTTAATTTTATGATTTATTACAAAAATATATCGATCTATATACGGTATGAATTTTCAAAACAACATAAGCCTTTGTTAAAAAATTAATAAAAATTGAGACTTGTCTATATAAGTTTTCAAAAAACATAAGTTTATTCTGAAAGAGAGTTCTTGAAAGTGTAATAGTTTCTATCTTCTTTCAAAGCAAAAGCAGTTTTGAATTTTTAGAAGTTTCAAACATAAAAGTTAATTGTGCTAATCTTAAAGTGAAAACGGTAATTTTCCAAAACACAAGGTGTAAGGTTTGATGGTGTCCAAAACATAAAGTGGTGGAGGTAATTAACTTTACAGAATTGTATAAAAAAAATTTACATATCCTTTGAGGTAGCTAGCTAGGACTCATATTGTTCAAAAATCAATATTTCAATTCAATTACAGGCTATTTGATACCATTTTCTTATTCTTTGTTTTATATTTTTGGAAAACCAAAAACTGCTGTATGTTTATTATTTGTTGTTATATATATATATATATATCGACAAAGATACATGAAGGAAAAATTCTGGTGCATACTTAATTTAATAAATATAATAATATATCATCAATTAAAAAGTATTAAAAGTAATAATATTCATAATTTAATCATGATAATTAATGGCAACATCATTGTTACAACATGGATAATAACATGGTGATGATTGTTATAATGTAAAATAATGATAAGACATATGAAATATTAAATTTATAGTGATTGTTATTTTATTGGTAAATAATAGTAATTGTATTAGATAATAATAATATGATATTAGTAATCCAAATAATATAGTAGCGATAAAGATGGTCGTCACATGTTTGCAAAAATTAAGAAAATAATAGTAATAGTGTTGGTAGAGTTAATTATAATAGTTGTAATGCTAAAAGAGATGGCGATGGTGTTAACTATGGTGATGGGGAAGAATTGAAAAAGTTAAATTAAAGTGCTGAAAAAACTATTTTATATGATGTGTGATGATAATGAGAAATGTTAGAGAACTTAACTAATAATTTATGAGTAAAAGTCAAATTTAAAAAAAAAAAAAAGATCAAAGGAAACAATTAACGTAAATAATAATTATGATGGAGAGGAGTTATACCCAAATCTAATTAGGACCTACCAGCCCAATTAAATTGGCTAGGATCCAATGATGCTTCAGTCATAAAACCTTAAAAGTTATTATTACACAAAAACTCAATTCAATGAAGAAAATTCAGACAACGCATATACAAAGAAAAAGGCCCTAAAAGAGTTTGTGAACATAAAAAGACTTAGTATAACTCTTAAATAATGTGAAATTGTAGATAAGGATTAATTATGAACAGTCATTCTTTTTGGGTTCACTTAGGAAAACTTAGTCAATAAAAAATATTTTATAGTTAAAAAGAAAAAAGTGAAAATAAGGGAAAACATCTTATTCTTCTTGTACGAAACTATTTCAGTTGTTAAATCATGGACAACTAATTAATTCTTGTTTTTTTCTTTTTTTCATATAAACTAAATACCAAAACAAATATTTTCAAGCAGATTTATTAATATAGCCAAATGAAAATAATATATTTTCTGCACATAAAATATTTTTCAAAAAACAAGTTATTTTATATGAAAGGTAATTTGATATTATTACAGTTTAAAATGTTTTTAAAAATGTATTTGGATTGATCAAAAGGCATCAAATAAAAGTTTTTTCATACGAAACAACAATTTTTTTTTTTAAATATCAATTTTAACCGCATTATAAAACACACATGATCAATGACAACATAATGGGATGGTGGGATATTATTAACTTATAAGAGTTCGGTGGAAAAAATCGAATCTGATAACAATAAGAAGAAGTTTTTATTCAAAATCATTTTAAGAATGTTAGAATATGATATATTTTTACCTAAAAATCCATAATTTTTATTTAAAAATCAATGCATAAAGAGTAACAAAATAATGTCTTTTCAAGTAGAAAATTTATATAGAACATAAGAAAGAATTATTTAAATACAAAATTTTGTTTATAAAATATAAAATTTAGATTATTATATATTTTATTAGACATGTAACATATCATGAACTATCAAATTAGAATGATTTTATTATATTCTATTAGTGGCATTACGTAAGTAATCGACTAGAAAACCAATTAACATTCTTGATAAATATATTTTACATCATATTACTTTTATTATTTAAATTTTATTTCTTAAATTTATCATTTCTTATAGAGATTTTCATCTGATTAATTATAATTTTAAATTATAATTTTGTTTAAATTTAAATTATTCATAAATATGATTTATTATTCTCTATGTATGAATTTTTAAATAAAATTTTAGAATATGATTATTTTTAAAAAAATTATACAATTTATATAATGGATTCATAGAATTTTGAAATGATAGTAGCATGATTATATATGTGTATGTATGTATATATTTTCGAGAAGATTTCTATCAGATTTTTTAAAAATAATTTTTAGTTAAAAATCCATGAATTTTTAGTTTTTTTTAAAAATTATTATTACAAGTTTTTAGTTAAGAATCAAATAAATAAGAATAAATCGTATTTTACTAATTTATGAAAATTAGTAAACATACAAAATTTTGATAAAAAAATGAATAGATTTTTATTTATTGTTGGTTCAATATATATTTGATGAATTCATAGTATAACATAGACCTTTAAATTGAAATAATTTTATATTTTCTCGTTCGATCTACAACGAGAGTTAAAAATTGAGTTCTAGCTACGGAGAGTGACAAAAATAGAGTTCTAGGTATAGAGAGTGATGGAGATAGAGTTCTAGTTAGAGAGAATGATAGAGATAGAACTCTATCTTTGCTACTCTCCGTAACTAGAACTCTATTGTTCTCTTTTAGTCTCTCTAACTAGAATTCTATTTTTTTTTTACTCTCCGTAGATAAAACTCTATCTCTATCACTCTTTATAGGTAGAACTTTGTCTCTTTCACTCTCCGTAACTAGAACTCTATCTCTTTTGTAGCTCGATGTGCCTAGAACTCTATCTCACTTTCTCTCTATAAGTAGAGCTCTATCTCTTTTACTCTATGTAATTAAGACTCTATCTTTGTTATTTTTTAAACTAGAACTCTACTTCTACCATTCTTTGTAACTAGAACTCTATTGCTAAAACTCTCCGTAGTTACAACTACTAGAACTATAACTCAATCACTATCTTTTACTCTTATAACTAGAACTTTATCTCTATTACTTTACTCTCTCTAACTAGTATTCTATCTTTGTTACTCTTTGTAACTAGAACTCTATCTATGTCTAAATTTTTTTTTGAAACTAAATTTATTTATAGCTCATATGTCCAACCATACACAAATAAATACTAAGTTATTATACAATCACAATATTGGGATATTATCAATTTTATATTCAACTATTTTCTTTTTATATAATTTTACTCCTAAATTATTTTAATTTCTCAGCTTAAGAACTTTGGTTAAAATTACCAAAAAAATCGTTAAGTTTCTTATAAAATGATATTGTTTTCTTTAAAAGTATTATTGGGATGAAAATATGAATAGAAATTCTTAAAAAAAGATGAAAGTCTTTAATTGAGAATTTTTGAAAGTTTGATGATAAAATTTATACTAAAAATTATTTAGTGATAATATTGAGACTACATATATACTTGAAATATGGTATTTTTGAGGTTTACATTTTCTTTTATCTCATGTAAGAGGTAAACATTATTTCTAGGAAAAAGTATATCATCCAAAAAAAAAAAACAAAAAAACAAGAAAGATATACTTGTGGTCACTCATCTGGAAAAAATTGTTTTAACCCCTAAATAGACTTTTTAAGCATGCAATTAAATGTTGATACCTAATCATAATAAACCAATATTGCTCTTTCTTGCAAATAGATAATATAATCATTAATTAAAAATATGAGGTCTATGTACTCTCTTGGATCTAATTGTCAATTAAGCAACACTTGTAGCTAGCTAGATTGGTTTGTTAATAATATATATTTTGTTATCTAAAGAATAGTACTCAATATATTTTTATGAAATCTTCAATAAAGTTTAGTCGTGTATAAGAATTTGATAGTTGAGATTGAGTTCCATCTAAAAGACTTAAGTCTTATGGTAGATGGCCTCTTTTCAATCTTATATATTAATTATTTTTTATTTAACTCTTCAATGTGCGATATGTACTCTAACACTCTTCTTCACTTACAGTCCATCTTTTGGATCCGTCTAATCACTTATGGTCCAAGATCTTTATTAGGCCATTGAGTCTCTTTGAGGTTATGATACCATATAGAATTAGATAATTGAGATTGAGTTTTATTCAAAAAACTTAAGCCTTACGGTGAGTGACCTATTTTTAATCTTATATATTAATTATCTTTGGTTTAACTATTCAATCCGAGATATGTGTTCTAATAGTACTTAATACAAACTTTTTTTAAAAAAAAAAAACAGATGTGCATTAATGTTATTTATAAGGAAATAAAAATATTGATTAAAAAGTTTTAAGTTTAATTTCTTAATTAAAATTAGTACTATTAAACTCGGAAAGCGAATAATTAACATAATAAACTCAAGAAATTAATATAAAAATTACCAATAAAGGCACTTTTTTCCTAATAAACTAAAAGGAATTAAGTAAGAAATCACGACATTTATTTCTCAAATCTATTTAAATAGGCCATTCATATAATATTGATGATATGGAAAGAAAACAACTTAAAGTTAATGCCGAACATGCACTAAACCTGAAAGGATACATTCTTCTTCTTATTATTTTTTTTTACAAAATTATAACCTTTGATTTACTTACCCATGCATGTATAAAATTCTTTTACACAATTTCAACCTTTGATTTGCTTTATATCTAAAGGCTATTATTAAATCAAAATCTTGTAATATTCATAATTAATATCTCTTCATTAATTAATTGTGTTTCTTTTTCCTTTTCTTTTATTAACTATATTGCATTCCTAAAAAAATAATAACAATAAATAAGCAATAAAATTATAGAATTCGCACGTTATCCCAACTTTTGTTTTATCTTATCTTCTCTCTCTGTTTTTTTTGTTTTCTTAGTAAAAATCTTACTAACTATTATCCTTAAACTCTTATGTTTTTTTTTTTTTCACTCTTATGAAGATCCAGTAACTTGTTTGTGATATAAATATGAAAAGATTGATAAAAAAAAAAATAAGATACTTTTTAAAACAAAGTAAATCTCTCTTTGTCCTAAAAAATTATCTACTTTTTTATTTATATATGTATTTTTATTTATATCTGTTTCAAAATATTTTTCTCATCAAAAATTTAAATGACATATTTTTCTAAAATACCTCTAATTGAAATTTATTTTATAAAAAAAATTTAAGAATACAATTTAAAAAAAAAGATATTTTAGGAAAGTATGAACAAAAAATGATCATATAATATAATAATTAATAATTTTCTTAATCTGTGTGAAAAATCAAGGAATACAATCTTGACAAAGTATTAAATTAATCACAGTCAATACTCAATACTAATTAAAAGATTAATTAATTAATTTTTAAAATTAAAAAAACTATTTAATTCATTTTGCAAAATTGGGAGTCATTTATAATTTACTCATTCGTTTAGATATATGTGTGTGTGTGTGTGTGAAGGATATTTCAAGATTATTTGAAAACATTTTCAAAAGGCAACGGCAAGCTTCTTGAAGCTTAAAGAATCTCCTTTTCTCTCCCCGCAATAAACAACCATTAAGAACTTCACATAGCTTGATTTCAATTCCAATAAATCCCATTAAAATCCGGACGTGACAATTCATTCGAAGAGCCAAAACAATTGGGCTACCTATCTCACTCATCGTGATCTCCACTCTTTAAACCATGAAGGATACCGATCAGCAGCTACGCCCACAAACCTCGTGGAGGCTTCAAAATGGCCAAATGCACTTCCAAAACTTCTTCTTCTATTTGCTTATCTTTGGCTGTGGTTTAGCCTTAGGTATCGCCCATACTTCCTATATCAGAGACATTTCTTTCAGCTTTCGACTCAACCAGTTATCTAATAATCCAAGCAACACCTCCCTAGCGAACTCCTCAATATCTTCTCCATCATCTTCACCCTTCGTTGCTATCAACGAAAACAAAACCGGCCGAATCGGACTTAAAGAATTTCTGAGAGTGCCAAACGTTTCTCATGATATGAATGAGGAAGAATTATTATGGAGAGCATCAATGGTTCCTCGTCTACGCAATCATCCCTTCCAACTTGTCCCCAAAGTTGCTTTCTTGTTTTTGACAAGAGGGCCTTTGCCTTTGGCTCCCTTGTGGGAGTTGTTCTTTAAAGGGCATCAAGGGTTATTCTCAATCTATGTGCATTCCAATCCATCCTTAAATGGAATTTATACAGAAGAGAAAACTTCTGTGTTTTATGGCAGGAGGATTCCAAGTAAGGTCAGTATAATTTATTTTATTTTTTATTTTCTAGTCTCATTCATTTAATTACTTAAAACATACTTATTGTTTTCTTTTTCTACTTAAGAATAGAAAGTAATACTCATGGCTCGTAGCTATCAATATTAGAATATATTGTTGATAGAATATTGCCCATTTTCCGATTTTTCTATATTCAAAATAATAGGACAAAAAAAAAAAAAAACAAACAAACAAACGAAATGGAAAAAGAAAAATAAAATTACAGATCTGATTTTGTTTAGGTTTTTTTTTTCTCAAAAACATGTTTTATAGACGTAGGCAGAAATTTAAAACCTTATTAGATATGCCACGATTCCGATAATGAAGTTAAGAAAATGCAGAATTGAACTATCTTGACAATAAAATTGGTGTTACATGTGTGTGTGTATATATATATATATATATATATAAAGTGAATTTTTTTTTTTTAACAATTTGATTACTCCGTTTTGATTTTTTGTAAAGATATTTTTTATTAATTAGTAAATTAAACATATATATATATATATATATATATATATGCTGTAAAGCTACAAATTAAAGAGTTACATAAAAAAAATCTTAATTCACAGAAATAATGTTCAATGTAATGATTATATAAATCAATTATATAACATCATTGATTTGGTAAGATTGTTATGCAATCTTGAATATTTTTGGTAATGGAATCACATTATTTCAAAATTAATATATTATTATGTAAAAATCATGGAAATGGACCATGTACATAGTCTATTAATTGCTAATAAAGTTCTCAATAAGTGTGGGAGTAAGATAATCAATATTCATGCAATGGAATAACGCCAACTTGTTGTTCAATATGATAATACTAATAATAACACCAACTTTAGAATAAAAATTAATAATGGTCTAATAAATTTGTCACTTAATGTGGTTACCCAAAAATTTAGTTTTGACTTAACATTGCCTGGTTTACGGTTACATGACTAATAACATAAATATTTTCTTGTGGGGCACATCATTTCTTTGACTTTCCTTCTATGTTTTTTTTTTTTTCCTCCTTTGGGGGAAAAAAACTGGGTGCAAGATTTTGGAAAAACCTGTCTAAATGAACCTGACGTTTATTTGATGGAGTTCTTAACCAGGCAGGCGCCCTTTAGCATTTGACTGATTATCTGTACATATATGATGTATGATGCTACAGTATTTACAATTTTTTTTTTTTTTGTGTAATAATTTGCTTACAAAGAAGTTTTGTTTTCGGAAAAAGTAATAAAAACAATATTTCTGATTCAACGAAAACACATCTTAATTTGATACATATTGAAATTTTAAAATTTTAATTATACAATCATTAATTACTGGTGAAGAACTAGGCTTTAATAGAAAAACATAATGATAGAAAAATATAGTTAAAAACTTGTTCGTCAAATCCTTAATACATTTTACGTTTCAATTAAACAGTACTAAAATAGCCAATATAATTGGATGTTATTGTATTTATGTGAAAACAATATATAGTAATTTTCTTCAAAATATTTTTTTTCAAATATATATATATATATATATATATATATGAAGTGGTTATTTAAATGTAAAATTGTACATTTTATTCCTCACTTCAATGTCTATTTGGTATTTTAGTCGAGTTTCTAAAAGTTCAGAATTTGTCACGATCTATTTTACGAAATAGGCTTAGGAATCTTGTCAATTGCACCCAAAAAGATAATTTTATGTTAGAGCATGATTATTATTATTATCACTGTTTGTTTATTTGGTTTCATGCATCACTTTTTTCCATTTTTACAACAAAGAAAAAACTCGAATTCTAATATATTTTGGGATGACAGAAAAAACTAGGATCGATTGAATTACGTACAGCTACAAGTTTGTTGACGATTCCATGCATTACTTTGATTCTACTCCTTTTCCAAAAAGAAAATTCGACCTTTCTACACTCCACCTTCTCACATTCCTTTCTTCATGCTTTATCTATTTTGCAAAAGATGCCGGCCCAGATAAAAGTTGGGATTGACCATAAAGTAATAAATAGTAAAACTCACAGTTGAATGCCAATAAAACCCATATGATTTTATTCAATAGTTTTAGATTGTAAAGTTCCGAATCTTTGGAGCTTAGCCTCAAAGTGGTGAAGACCCAAGATATATGTGTAAAAACGAAGCCTTGTTCGCAATTTCCACAACTCGACTAGGGCTAATAATGTTTTATTTATTTCATGAATTAACGCAGGAGGTACAGTGGGGAAAGATTTCAATGTTAGAAGCAGAGCGACGTTTATTGGCTAATGCACTACTGGACTTCTCAAACCAACGTTTTGTTCTCCTATCAGAATCATGCATTCCCTTATTCAACTTCTCTACCATCTACAGTTACTTAATGGGCTCAACAACAACATTCATTGAGGTTTATGATTTACCCGGCCCGGTTGGCCGCGGCCGATACAACCCGAAAATGAGGCCTGTAATTCGGCTCGATAAATGGCGAAAAGGCTCGCAATGGGTCGAGATGGACCGTCGGCTTGCGGTGGAGGTAGTATCCGACCGAAGCTATTTTCCAGTTTTTCAGAAATTTTGCAAAGGTTCATGCTATAGCGATGAGCACTATTTGCCAACATTTGTTAACATGAAATTTTGGAAGAAAAATTCAAACAGAACTTTAACATGGGTCGACTGGTCCAATGGGGGGCCTCATCCACATAAATTTGGGAGACTAGATATCACTATTGATTTTTTGGAGAGGTTGAGAAATTGGAGCAAATGTGAGTACAATGGAAGAAGGACTAATATTTGCTACTTGTTTGCAAGAAAGTTCACTCCTGCTGCTTTGGATAGGTTATTGAGATTTGCTCCAAAGGTCATGAAATTTTAGCTGATCAGTTATTTTTCATTTTCGTTTTAATTATTTTATGTAAAGTTCCATTCATTACTACGTGTTCTAATAATTTTTGGGCACGGCCAGAAATGCTTTATGGTTTTCCATCTTTCATTTATTTTAAAGAATTATTTGTTGTAAGCAACTCTGAAGCTGACAAAACATATAGCAGCTGATACTTCGTTTGTAATTAAATGCGAGTCCAATTAATTTGATTGTTGATTATGTCACAAAATTCAATTTGTCTTGAATTTCTGATGCATCTTCAAGTGATATAGTTCTCTGCTTCCCTGCACACTCAAATAGGTTGTTAATGTTGCGTTCTGCTTCAATTCAGTGTTAGTGTTGCTAATGTTGGTAATGGGATAAAATATTAAAAAATATTTTGTGTGCAAAAATCTTTTTTTTTCAAGGGTTAGTTTCTTTTTTCAACTTTTCTAAATTGGAATTAGGCCTCACTCTATTTTTTGCAAATAGTTAATGGTCTGAAAGAAATAAAGCTAGAAGCATTGCCAGAACAAATTGATCAAAGAAGATGTCTGACGATTACGGTGAACAGATAAATTTAAAGAACGGAGTTTTCATATTTTCTTCACTCTTACATCAAACATTCAGTGTGTAAAGGGGTTAAAAGAAACGGATTGTTGTGATCAAACCTTTTCTGAAATGGATGCACTCTCAAATGCATGCAAATACAGACACAGACAGCCCCAGGTATATATTTGGCGTTAGACAGAGATGCCTAGACATTGAAATATGTAGTTCAGTCGTCATCAAAACTAGCAAGATCCTTCGGAAACTGTTAGGAAACCGAAATTCCAATCCAAAATCTTATCCTTGTATGCTATTTAAGGCAAGCAAGTTACATGTGAAGCAAAGAAAAAGCCAAAATACTAAAACTAATATTTGTTATGCCATGAAATCAATGACCCACAACAATTTGTTTGGTTAAGCGTCATTAGGCTATAAATACCCCATTCGACCCTCCCTTTCAATTCATCAAACAAAAGCTCACAGATAAACATAAGCTCAAAAAATCCAAAGCCAAGAAGTTCATATATACCACCAAAAGAGGGGGAAAAAAAATGAAGGGAGCAGTCATCTCACTGTTGGTTGTGATAGCCATGGTTCAATTCATGGTGAAGCCAGGGGAGGCCGTCACTTGTGCTGATGTGAACTCAGACTTGGCCCCCTGCGTTAGCTTCCTTACTGGAAAGGGAGGTGGCGTTCCTACGCCGCTATGTTGTTCCGGGGTGTCCAAATTGAAGGACAGCGCTCCAACCGTTGCTGATAAGCGTGCTGCATGTGATTGTGTCAAGCAAGCTGCCACTCGCATCCCAGATATAAAGGAGGATGCTGCCTCCTCTCTCCCTACAAAGTGCAACGTTCAACTGGATATTCCCATCTCCAAGAACTTCAACTGCGCAGAGTAAGTATTTTTCCCTTAAGAAATGCTAGCAATCTCCGCATTGAACCCAGCCTGACGCCTTCATATATAATACACCCAAAGCTAAGATGTCATAGTCTTGGCATGCTTGCATTCCTCCATTAACATTCGAGCTTTTTTATTAATTAACGCGTGTTCTTCTCTCATTTTTCTTGGTCCAGCATTCACTAAGATGGAAGGCATATATATGCGGTGAGAAATAAAGCTTCAGGAACGTTGCCTGCTGGCCTGTTGCAGGTGTCTTTTTCCTGCTTGTTTATGCTTAAATAAAAGCTCCTCTGTGAGCTATATATAGAGCTCAGTAATTCACCCAGCTAGTTCTACTAAGGCTATTCTTGTAATGGTTTATCAGAACTTGATGGAATGAATTCTAATTATTGATAGCTTCCTCTCTCTCTCTCTCTCTCTCTCTGATCTCAATCTATACTATCAACCACATCTACAACACAAACTTTTAACAGAAGGGCATTTTTAGTTTTCCTCTGCTTAACAACAAAATTGAAGTTATGGCATCTTACAGTAAGGCCACCATAAATTCATACCAGAAACCGTGTAGTGGAGAAGGAAATGTGATCCGAAAGCAGAACCACTTGCACTTCAGGTGGACAAAGTGATGCTTGAAGGATAAGAATTATCAAAGTTTCTGTTGAACTGCTAATGTTTTGCTGAAAGAGTTCCCCATTGCTTAACTTCTGCTTACACGAACTATTCTTATCAGAATTTAGGTTTGAAACATTAATCGCGGCCTACCAGTCTAAACTGGAAAAATAGACGCACTTAAAAGTGGAGCAAATCATAATAACTATTCATAGGCGCATTTTCATGTTAGAGGAGAAACAGTATTCTGCAAGTACTGAATAATTTCTCACTGCACAGGCTCCCATGAATCTTCATTTCTATTCCTTTTTATATTACAAATAAATTGAAAGCTAATTACTACTGTAGGAATTTTCCGGTGTATATGTATTTTGAAAGAAGAAGAAGATAAAAATGTGAAAGGGAACTAATTTTTCATTACTGCAAAACATATTTGTCGTGATACAAAAAGTATGAGTCAATACCAACTTTCTATAATTTAAGGAAATTTGTTCCTTGGCTATAGCTGAAATTAAATTCCACCACAATTTCTTCAAACTTCTAGCACATTCATCAATTATAGCAAAATATTCAAAAACAAAAAGAACAAAATCTTGTGCAAAATCTGGTGCATAGTTTTGTATAAGTACTTTGATCATGAACAACAATCTTCATTACTCCTCCTTGATGCAAGAGCTATGCATAACACCTAGCTTGTCTCTAAGTTTTTCAAATCTGTTCTTCCGCAATCCTTTGGTGAAAATATCAACGACTTGCTCCTCTGCTGAACAATGAAACAACACAACTTCACCTTCCTTTTCTACTTCTCTAATAGCATAATATTTGATTTTAATATGTTTAGTTTTCCCATTAAAAATTGGATTGCAACAGCAGACTTATTATCACACAAAATCATTGTAGCGGGTTCTTGCTTAAACTTAAAATCATTCATAACTTTTCTCAGCCATAAGACTTGATTAACAATAACGAGATGCAACCATATATTCCGCCCAGCGATTGATCGAGCAACGTAACCTTGCTTCCTTGAACTCCAACATATAACACCCGATCCAAGGGTAAAGCAATAGCATGAGGTGCTTTTTGAATCTTTAAGTGATCCAACCTAATCACTATTGGTGAATCCAAGTAGTTTCGTGGTTGAACTCCTCCTAAACAACACACCATATGAAATTGTACCCCGAATATACCTCGGGACCTTTTTGATTGCTTTGAGATGATTTTCGGTTGGCATGTTCATGTATCTTGATAGAGTACTAGTTGCATACATTATGTCCGGCCTTGTGATTGGCAAATACAACAACGAACCAATAAGACTCCTAAATATTGAAGGATCAACGGATGCTCGAACCATCATTTGCTTGCAACTTCAATCCTTGAACTGCTCGAAGTATCGACAACTTTTTAACTAATTAGAGAAAAAAATTTTCAATAATTCCGTTGCATATTTCTTTTGAGAAATGAAAAATGCCTATTGAAACTTGAGACACTTCAATAACACATTTGAGATAAGCTTTGTACTCGATATAGTTTGCACGGACACAACACCTTTGCCTTTGACATCCACTAGTCTCTCATCACCAAGTTTTACTTTAGAAGAATATGCTATGTCCAAAGTTTTAAAAATTTCTAAATTTGTTGACATATGATGAGTACAACCACTTTCGATCATCCATGCATTAATATTTTGAGTTGCCACTAAACATTCAACAACAACAACAAAAAGTTTCTCCTCACCGAACTTCGAGTCCTTCGAGTGACTTGTGCGAGTCGTGCTTGATTTTGTTGACCACCATTTCCTGGACAAACTCTTTCAATATGTCTAAACTCGCTTACATGCTTTGGATTATACCCTAGGTCCGTACTAGCAATAATTTTCAATGTGGTTTATCTTCTTGCAATGAGGACAACGTGGATACTTGCCTCTCCTGTTCTTTCTCATGTCGCTCTAATTAAATTTTTTGTCTTTACATCTATTTGAATGAGAGCCTCTTTTTGCATAATTAGTATACACTTTTGCTTTTTGGGATGCAAAAAAGTGCATTTTCAATTGAGCCTTCTTCTTCTCTAAATGCTTTTCTTTGCTCAATAGCGTGTAGAGCACTTACAAGCTCTGTGAGAGAAAGCTCGAGATAAATCCCAAGCATTTTCAAGTGAAGAGATCTTCGCCTCAAATCTTTCTAGAAGAGTTACCATTTTCTCCATAATTCTTCTTTCTAGTAAGTCCTCACCTAGCAGCTTTACTTGATTAACAACTTTCATAACTCTATTAATGTACTCCTTCACATTCTCGGTCTCTTTCATCTTGAGAAACTCAAACTCCTTTCTTAAATTAAAGATCCGCATCCATTGTGTCTTTTCATTTCCTTGAAATTCTAACTTCGACTTGTCCTAGGCTTCTTTTGCTATCTTGCATACCATATTTCTTGTGAAAGTAGTCTCATTTACTCGTTGAAAAAAGACTACTCAAAGCTTTAAATTTTCTAGAGATCCCTTTCTTCATACATTCTAAGCTGATTCAAAGTTGCATTGTCTAGCAATTTAGTTTCAAAGTCCGATTCAATAGCTTCCCAAGTAGCGAGACTCTCGAGATATGCTTCCATCTTCACGGACCACACATGATAATTTTCTCCGGTGAAGATTGGAGGAGAAGGAGTAGAAATACTACTACTTATAGCCATCACAAAAATCACTCAAATATGTCAAGTGTTTATGGTTTTTTTTTTAAGTAAGGTTTTCTTGTTTTCTCTCACACACGATCCCACAAAGAGCGTTTGTTACTTTGATACCGGATGTATGAATTTTCTAGTATATATGTATTTTGAAAGAAGAAGAAGATAGAAAATGTGAAAAGGAACTAATTTTTCATTATTGCATAAACATATTTATAGTGATACAAAAAGTATGAGTCAATACCAACTTTTCATAATTTAAGGAAATTTGTTCCTTTGTCTAAAGCTGAAATTAAGTTTCACCACAATTCATTCAAACTTCTAGTACATTTATCAATTATATTACAAAATATCAAAAACAAAAAGAACAAAGCCCGGTGCATAGCTTTGTATTAGTACTTTGATCATGAACAACAATCTTCATCAACTACTCTAGTTTTTAATTTTATCAACGGAAAAAGTCCATGACATTTTTTTTAGGTCCATAATTAAATTTTTTTTATTAACCAATCTCATGCGCCATTGAATGCATGTAGAAGAGCCATAAAATTAAATTAAAGATGTAATGACCAAAAAACTCTAAACCCAAATTGAAGACCCAAAACCCATTATTTTCGTCCATTCCTCCTTTCTTCACTTTCCGTCCTAAATGCACATTGATTATTTTTTTTATTTACATATAAAAAAACCTATTAAGCAATCGTTTAAGGTTGTGAATAAATTTTTCCCTCGTTCCTCTCTAATCCATTTTACTTTTATTATCGTGTATAGGAGCTTTCAAAAAATAAAACCAAAAAAATATGTACCTTGTTTATTTGAGATTGGATTGGTGTCTATCTTGTAAAGCAACCATTGAGTGTTTAATGAATTCTCTTCTTCATCCCTTCATTCTTCAAATACTAACCGAGTAGGCTCGGATGAATCATCCATCAAATATGTTCTAAGTATAATAGATGTGGATGTAAAGGCACTTGTGAGGATCTCGGAATCAAAGAAAAGCGCAAAAAGAATATACTCTTATTGTGAGAGATGTGAGAAACTTGATGAAGTTCATGAAACTTCAAAAGTTGGCTAGGAAGACTAAGCGATTGAAGCAATAAGTTAAAAGATGGCTAGTTGATTAATGAGTTGAAATCGGTGTTGAGAGTTTATACGGGTATACATGTGGATGTTTTGTAGTTTGTTCGTCATATGATGTGTATATTTTAATGAAGTAAATAGGGAACGTGACATAAGAGTATGGCTCAAAATTCTCAACTAGGTCGAATTGGTCATGATCATCTAAGCTAATAGTTTTCTTTTATAATTGGGCTAAATTTAAGCTTGTTCTATCCAGGTTACCTTATTTTATCTAGATCACCTATTATTCTTAATTAAAATAACATGATTGTTTAGGAGTTTATTTAACATAAGAAGTCCTTTGAATGTTTGATTTAATTAGTCCTTATTGATTATTGAAGGGATTTAGTGGCTGAATGTGACAAAGAAGTATGTTTAATTAATGTGACGAGAATATAGCTATTATAAATTATGTCTTTATGCAATATGGAGAAACCAAATTTGATTGTTTGATTAATAAAATTCTAGAAATGTTTCTCTCAAACTTGTAAATCTCTATGCTTTTTTAGGGTTTGTGCTACGTATCCTAGAACTTGAACAATTAAGATGGTGCTATCGATCTACTAAATCTAACAAAGGGCGTAATGGGGTTCTTGACCTTACTATAATCATCTAATGTTAATTTATATAACTAGAATCTAGTGGGGTTTTAAAAAATCTTGCCAAAATTAATCAATAGCTAAGGTTTCCATAGCTTGAAAGTTTCAGACCTTAATCTATCTAGAGTTTAAATTTTTGTTTCATCCGAATTCCATAAACGAAGGTTTTAGCTTTTTAGTTCCTTAGAAGGTCCAATTCAACAATAAAAAAAAATTACTTGAAGGATTCAACATTTCTCAAAAATCATCACGATACTAGTGTCAACTTGGTATCGAGTCTAGGTTGTTTCGCATATTTTTGACAAATTTTATGATGACATTACTAAAAGAAAACAACACTCGAATCACCATAATAGAATTATAAGAGGAGAATGCACATTTTCTTGAAAGATTGCAATAATGTGGAAGAAAATATAGAGAAATGAATGATCGAGATTGGAAGGTGGCGAATAAGAGGTCCTAGGGAGAATCCTTTCCAAACTTTGCAAAGTTGGAGGTAAGGCTACTAGAGAAGGGACCAGCTAAGAGCAGGCTGGAAGGTGACAATAGCAATAGAGAACGTTGATAAAGAGGAATGGCTTTCGAAATCTAGCGAGAAAATCATAAGAATAACGAAGTTATTAAGGAAAG